TTTTTTCATTGGAATTCATCTCTTCAATCGTCATGGGCGGAGGGTAACTATGTAGTTTTGAGAAATCCTTCAACTCCAATCGATATATTTTTGTTGGTGCAGTATATTCAATGATTTGTGACGATGGCATCGGTCTACTGTATTCTTTCAATAATTTCTTTTTTCTTTTCTTGCCAATGGAATTTAAATTCGATATCCATGGAGGTCTTTCGGCGGGTTGTGGTGCTGTTGCTGATTTCCTGTCATTTGCAAGAATGAAGAGAGAATCATCAGTTTTCCCATTACACAAATCAATTGATCGTTGAAAGTAAACTTACGAAATTTCGCGGTTGTACACTTTCCCAATCAAATTTGGCAGAAAGTCTGCCACCGTTTCTCTCGAAATGTGTGATGCGGATACTGTATCTACTAAGGTGCCTCTAAAATCGTTGGTGGTTGTGGAAAAACCTAGCATTGCCGTTGCATGAATGATCTGACAGGAGAAATCGTCATTCTTGCGATTAGGCTTGTAACATGCATGCAAACAAATACATTTATCAACCTACCTCATTCATCTTTTCCTGTTCTTTTAATAATCGATTACCTTGATTGACTCCAACAACGAACACTCCGGTGCACCAACTTTTCGTCGTGCTCGTGATGCAACTACCCAATTCTACTACTTGCCTTCTTGTCATTTCAGGTCTCGTCGCTTCGGCATGTCTACGAAACGTTTGATTTATGAACTCTAATACTTGACGAATGGTTAAGCCTTTTGGTTTGTTAAGCGCAAATAATCCATGAACCTTTTCTTTTTTCGCCATTGTCAAAGTGAAGAGAGATTTTTTGCGAATAAAAATTTTTTCCGCATCATATCTGGTCTAGATAGATAAAAAAATTTTTCTCGAACAACTTTAAAAATTTGGGGAAACTTCTAGAATTTCTTAAATCACACATCTGGCCAGACATGGAAACGTTTTAACGTGTGTTGCCGCAGAATGTACGTATGTCGATCACATTCAATATTTAGTAGTGGCTTGCAACTTTAATTTCCATATTTCAACGAACTTTTGTAAAAAAGCCATCGTTACTGCGTTTCATTCCGCAGTAAACATTTAATTTATCATTAAGATCCATTATTTTTATCTGTTGAGCGTTTATTCGCGTATTTTTTTACTTCAAAATGAATAGTTCTTTTTTCGTGTCAACCCCGCGGAAGTCCAAAACATTTAGACCTTCAACGATCCCACAAAATTTTTATACAGCAACACTGAAACACATGGTTTGTTTAGACACTGTTGCATATGACGCGCTTCGTTCACAACTTCAATATTTTCAACATTATATAACCCGAGATGACATAAGCTCGAGATTCCTTGAAGAATCCGAAAAAATGGCAGAAATAAGCTGGAGACAATTTGAAGGTACATACTGTTCTCGAGAGGTTTCGTATATCAAATTTTTTTTATTGCGTGTACCCATCCAGTGTTGGTGGTGGTACGAACCTGCAAAGAAGACTTATTATATCAGTTAGCATTTTCTGTTGCAAGTCCAGGTATTAAACGCGCGTATTTTGCCAATGGTTTATTCTCGGCATAGGTGTCAAGAACAATCTCTTGACCGAAGATCCATATATAGATATAACAAAATTCTCGCCATTCACTCGAGCACCAGTTAATGACATAGTGAAGCGATGCAACCTGGCTATCTTCTCTCATTTCATGTTCGACCCGCATAATCCGGAATTGGAAAATTTGGAAGCGGCAGATAATGCATTTTATTATTTTATAATTCCAACAGAAATTTGTCAAAATGATTCGAGTTTATTTTGGAGACTAAGTTTAGATTTAAAAACTCAGGTAATTTAACGTTTTCATATGTCACTTTGATGATGGTGAGAATTTACCTGAAAATTATTTAATGCATCGATATCTTAGTTATATATCCAAGCCATAAAGAACAGTACTAGAGAATATGCTCTCGATCAACTTTTTCCACGGATTGCTGAGCAACCACCTGAATTCATCGAAGAGTATGTCCAACGTAGAGAACAAGTATGTAAATATGGTTAATGTGATCAAATGTGATAAATTTACATGCTTTGGTATGTTATCATTTACATTAACATTTTCACAGTTGAAAAACAACGATACTAGGTTATCAGAAATATTCCCTTGGACGAAATTTATAAAAGAAATGTATCACCTGATAGTTTCCATATCAGAAAGTATTCCTCCGCCCTTGGTTTCCGAGGTAATTTTTCGTGTGTATTCTATTTTTTTAAGATTCGCGAGTTAATTTTTCACCGTGTATTGTATTTCAGAATACAAAGAGCATATTAACGACCACACCGGATCGATCCATGTCTGAAAATCAACAAAGCACCATGAATTCGGAACCAAATTTAACGCCGCCTGTAGGCAGGTTTAACGTTGGTAGAACTGTGCAGTAGGTGATTTCATTATTCCGTTAAAATATACTTGAATCAAATTTACATTAACCTCCCTTTGCATACAAGTATTCCAAGGAATGCTAAATATTTTGGTGCGTGGAACAAGTATGAAAACGCCAGCGAGCGAGATCTGACTGCTGCGATGGATCACCTGGGACTTCGGTATTATCAACGTTTCGGATTGGTTTTTTTTATGTATGACGCATACTCTCATCATTTTCTTTATTCTTAGCCCAATGTCAGATCAAGAAAATAATTCGAATGACCAAGTCAATAGGGATCCCATGGTTTCTGATCCCATGGACATTTCTACGTCGGTACCCGTAGTGTCATCATCATCTATCATAATTGATGAGGAACCAGAGGAAATTGATGTCATCAGTATTCCTAGAAAGAATATTACACCTGGTCGTACTTCGACGACTCCTAAAGAAAATTTTATGACACCGACTGTATTAATTACTGAACCCCCACCACAAGAAGATTCGACGAGCGATGAATCCGAAAATACACCAACACGTGATAAACGTCCTGCAAAAAAGCCAAGAAAAAAATCAGAGTGGAAAGAAAGTGAATTAAACGCGTTGATTGCCGGTATGAAGGAATTTAATACAAGTTGGTCCCAAATAAAACATAAATACAAAGGTGCTCTTAGTCGACGTGACCCAATGCACCTGAAGGACAAGGCACGTACCGAATGTGAAAGAAGAATTAAAATGAAAATACCTCTGGGTGTTTTTGAGATTGTGAAGTAAGTTC